GAAATAAAAACTAAAAATTAACTTAATAATTACACATGAAGTTGAACAAGTTTACATTGGCATAAATACAATTGCATATTTTTTTAAAAGAAATTATGAAAAATTTAAAATACGTGATTTTATTTTATATTATTTATATTTGTTGTTTGAAATTTTCAAAATAAATAAGATTAAAAGAAAAATTTAGCTGATAAAGATTTTTATTTTATTTTATTTAAATGTAAAACTCAACCTTGAATTTTGGGAGCAACAAATTCAAAATAACTATTTGATGTCTCTTATATTTCATGAAAATTCTGAATATATTTTAACTCCAAATCAATTAAAACTTACTAAACGGTACTGTAATTTTAGTTGGACTCTAATCAACCTTTTTCAATCAACAAACAAATAATTGAATCCACATCATCTATACAATTGGCATTTTGTGTGTTTAGTTTAATTGAATCCACATCATTTATATAATTGGCATTCAATTAAACTAAACACACAAACTGCAACTGAAATTGTACACACACACACACTCTTTTCAACTGCATCGTTATTTAAAAAAAAAACCATGATACGATTTGCAAACACCAAAACTATAAAAAAAACAGCAGGCGTGTTTTGAACCCACAATACAAGAATTCAACAAACCGTTTCTGCCTACGAAGATCATAAAATCAATAAACGAAATGTATCACGTTGAGTAGTAGAAAGCAATCAGTTCATTTTCGTTATTGAGCAACGGTTTTTTTATTTGCAAATCGCCACCATTTCTTAGTATCTCAACAACGATCTGCTTCGGTTTAACACCGCGTGTGAAAGATGTGTGAAAAACGGTCTTTCAACCATGCTAATGATGCAACATTAAGCACCGCCAAATGCCCCTAACAACGTCAATGCAGACAGGGATTCGGTCCCTTGCAGGGCAGTCAGTGCACTAGACCTGAGCGAATACTGGCACTGATCCCGTTGCTGATCAACTCCATAGCGTCTACATTTGTGGAAGATCTACTCCTCGGTTGACTTCTAATGGGCCGTGTCATAGCTTCTCTGCTTATCGCCATCGTCATAGATGCTCTGCACGTGCAACACACATAATACACACACACCCACACACAAACACACACAGGCACGAGTTTCTGTAAGCTTAACCTTGAACCCCGTTATGTGTCTGTTCCTTGGGTTTGGAGTGCAGAAGCTCAGTGCATACTGTTCCAATGAGCGATTCGTGCGAACATGACAGACACGAAGTCGATGGAGAGCGATAGAGAGAGAGATCCATGGGCTAGTCTCGGATGGATTTGTATTCAGATTGACTCCCCAAGCTGCGGTTGTCGATGTGGGTGGGGGGTGATGGATTGATAGTGTGGACTACGAAGCAGGGTTCCTGCAGAATTTTGTTTGTTTGTGGATGAGTTGAATCATTGGTGGATGCAACGGATGCATTCGGAGAAGATCCTGAATCCTCAGCACAGTTTTGGACGACAATGCTCCGCAAGTCTACGACCAAACATAACGAGTACTCTGGTGTGCATTAAAATTCAGTGTTTAACTCCATTGTAGACGTATTTTTTTTCTCTCTTTCTGTGTGTGTAGGTGTAAATGCAAATTTTTATATATATATATATATATATATATATTCCAAAAAGAAATAATAATAAAAAAAATGTTATGACAAGTCTAATATAAGTCTAATAGTTTTTTTAACTTGTTTGGAAACATAAGTCTAATAGTTTTTTAAAGAATTACTATTAATACTTGACTCTTTTATAGTTAGAATAGATCCAATGCAACTGAGCATAGCACTATAAAACTGAAACAAACTTAAACACACTTTTTTTTAATATTATTTTAAATTATTACAAAATTTAAATAGTAAAAGCAAACAACTGGGCTGCATATTTATTTTAAATCAGTTTTGTTCCATAAATTCTCACACTGAATCAATAAAATTTAATCCAAGTGATTATGACAGCTGTCCATGTGCTTCTGAATATTATATGAATAATTGCTTAGATGGTTAATACAACAGTGTGTTTACTTCTCTGATCATGTTGATGTCAAACATGAAAACATTTATGCTTTGGTCATTCTAATTAATTGATATGTAGGAGTCCATATTCAAAACTAATCAAGTTGAGGTTCTCTTCCCGCTTGTCATATAATCTATGTGATGAGAAGTGATAAAATTCCAAATAAACTCATAACTGTGTTTGACTTACATGGCAATGCTGCAAATAATTTCTTTGCATTCCTCATTAATGTAAAATTTAAAAACCATACTGAAATATTAAAGTGGAGAAATTGAGTGATATTTACAAGCCCATTGGTCATTGTTTTACTTGTCATATTTATTTAATATTAATGTGAATAGAGCTACACAAAAGGAGAAACCTTGCATTTAAAGCTCAATAACTACTTGTTATTACCTTATAACTATTAGTTCCAAAAAATATTTTGTTTATATAGGATAGGTTTTTTTTTTTTTTTTTTTTTTTTTTTTTTATTTATTTAATGACAATGTCTTACATTAGTAGGGCATAAACATATACATTTTTTTTTTTTTTTTTTTTTTTTTTTGTAAAGTGTATCATTTTATTCTTAAATAAATTTGAAGGTTAATTTAAAAACATAAATATAGTGTTCTCCTCATCACAATGAGCCTTCTTGTTATGATTTTTTTCTAGTAATATATATTCTTTTCAATAATAATAATAATAATAACAAACTATCATATGAGATTGTTTTTTTCAAGTAGAGAATATAAAAATATACAACATTTCTATATTGAACTCTTAATTATTATTATCATTTAAAAATACTTATTATTATGTAAAAAACGTCCAAATTCTCTTTTAATTCTGCATTCCAAAAACTAAAAATTTAAAAACGTTTTCACTTCAAATTTTCAATTCTTATAAAAACATTTTTTCCAATTTTTATGTAACATTCTATGAAACAAATAATTACTTATTTTTATTGTTATTGGTATGTAATTATTATTTAACTCACCCAGAAATTTAATCAAAAAAAGAGTCTATAAATTTGCCTTTTGTGAATTTGTTAAAATATAAAAATTGTATATCCGTGGGTATTATTATGTAACTATGACACCAACGACCAATTCAGTTGCACCCAATAGGTTTTATACCAAACCATAGCATTCACAAGAGGCCAAAATAACATCTAATGTTCATATTCAATACTAAACTTTTGAATAACTGAAGAATGTAGAAAATAACAACAATAACAAGAAGAGAATTGCTAAAGCGACACCCTTGCAGATACATTCCTGCTCTCTCTTCAAGTATTGCTCAGCAAGAGCTCTCTCTTATTGCTCTTCACTTGCGAATACACACTAAATCCTCACTCCCAATGTTTCCTCTATCCCTAATGCAAGTCGCTTCACTAGCTGACCTTCTCCAAAGTGTCCCAAAAGGAATTGTGAAGTGCAATCCCAAAGAAAATTGCAATGCAAGCAACCACAACATCTTTGAGGGTGTGGCTTTAATAATATAGGGGTGTGGCTTTAGTTATCCCCTAACAATAATAACAACAATAATAATCATAAAAAGGCAAAAGTAAGCATTCCTTAAAACCACCTTGGACAAAGTTGATGGTGGACAACCATCCAAATTTTCATCCACGTCATCCACCCATAAGTTCATCCATACGAGGTGTAGTAGACCCCGGCCAATGACATTGGAACACGTGCTCGTGTGAGACAGTTTCCTGGAAGGTTCTAGGAAAAAGGAGACTGACCCGGAAGGCAGCGCAAAAGAATGCGTGAAGAGGTCCCAATGCCCGACGACGACGACGGCGCGGTGCGATCCACGAAAGATGCGACCACATGTGTAAATTTGCATGGGAGACTGTGCCCGAGACGTGCCCACCTCGTCAAACCATGAAGTGACTTTCTAATCTATCTCACTCTTTCGTCATTCTCCCCCCCCCCCCCCCCCCCCCAAACCCTGGTTTGCTAGAGAGCTGATTCAACAAACCTCAGAGTGTTGCGTTCCATGAATCTCACTCTGTAGATCGGTGCGGTTTTTTACCAACGGGAAAATGCAGACGTTGCGTGTGACGACAAACTGCAAGCCACTGGAAGTGGCGTTGCTGAGCCAGGGATAATGGGAGAGAGTCTCGTATCTGTACTCTACCTTGGCGACGGCGATAACTGGAATAACTTTCATACTGTAGGACTCTTGACTTGTCACTCCGGCAAATTGCTAGATGCTTCGGTTTACAGACAGATCTGATCCAGGGCGATGTGTGCAGCGCCAACGTCCAATGGCGCCGAATGCTAGTACCCCATCCCGTTCCGGATGGATTCCCTTTCAAGGCTGATCACGACACATGAACCACATGAATTATTCTTGGAATCGCAACTTCTGTGTCCCGAGACGGGAAAGGGCTGATCTCCGTTCCTTGCCGAGACCATCCATGGTTCAATTAGCTCCTTCGTCATCAGTGGTGTACTTTGCTCACTGGCTCTGACGCTTGATAATTGATCAAACCCGGTGTGAGCTGCATGAGTCAGAGCGGAATGCCCTTCTTCGCAAGTGCGGCGTAGGCATTGGTGCAACGTCTCGCCCAGCCTTCCTCCTTAAATCGACAAACATATTTCCATTGCATTTACAAAAATGCGTGGTTTATTAAGATTTTCATGAGAAGAAGTCACCTCGGTCCCCTTGAATCTGTCTAATTGAGACCTGTTCACTTATACCTTTATTTGCATTGAAACGAAGAATCCAAATAAAACAAAGTTGAAGACAGCTGCCTTCACTACTTTAATCATCATTGACCCAGAGTCACTCTTGCAGATACAGAAAGATCATGATATAATTGAAAATCTTATAGCTGCACGTTTAAATCTACAATCCAATTAATTTCCTTTAACTAGTGACGCTGAGAATGGTGACTCATGACAAGCAGCTTTCACACACTGCCCCATCGTGGTGGATTGAAGTAGAAACCGCACCCAGACAAGACGATTACAAGGAAATTCATAGTTGAGGAAACATGGTACTTTATTATTTAGACCAATATGCTGCAAATATGTCAAAGTAGTGCCTGTACCTCTTCCCGAAGGATTAAAAACGGCAAACATATTATCCAAGAGCAGCAGTAGTTATTTATATTGCCAAATGCTGTAGCTCTTAGTCTCCTGAAATCAACTGTCCAAACCAGCACCCAAATCAATGATGCTAAGATACTCCCTTGCAAGCCGTGCACGGCAAGCATAGTGAAAACCAGCACCAAGAATATATTAAAAAAAAGAAGAAGTCTAGATCAATTCATGCGCGGCGGTGATGAACCTTCAAACACCGTCATACTGTGGAGCTGTCGATTCACGCAGACGACAACTTGTTGAGCCCTGTCATCATCTAGCTGCGCGTTCTGCACTCGTCCAAGGCTCAATAGGATTCTACCACAGCATCGTCAGTTCATGGCCAGGGAACTCCGTCGATCAGCAGCCAGAGGAGAACCTTGGTATATGTACAACACCTGACAGCTCCAAACAGAGCCCACACATGCCAGGCGGATATGGATGTCGACACCTATCCTACGTACTTCTGCCGCTATCTCCTGCTGACTACCCTGTACTAAAAACCTACTCCACAACCAAAACCAAAGCAAAAAACAAAAAAACAAAAAAAACAAAAAAAAAACTTACATGAGCGAACAAGAACGACGCTTAAGGCCACTAGTACGCACCACCTAAGAAACAACTAATGACTCTCAGAAGACCTTGACTTGAACTAAAAATGCTCTTCAATAAAAACATTGAGCATTAAGGGGAGTTATCTCTATCGTCGACCAAAAAAAAAAAAAAAGAAGGAAAAAAAAAGACTAAGAGATTCCCACATTTGCGACTACCTACAGTCAGTGATTAGACTCAAATATTCGTCAAGATCACTGTCAAACCTTAAAAAGTCAAGTCTTCGAACTACCATAGTTCCTACGAAAGGGGCTAAAAAACTGTTAGCCCTGGAGCACCTCGTTCACTCCACAAGGTTTCCAAACTAAAACCTCGCGCGATGACGAGAGTCTCACCGAAGATCTGTTTGTTGAACAAATGCTGGTATTACTCGATATACCAGACACAGGAACTACGTCCAGATCTTGAAAGGATTTGGGGGAAGCCGGTGGCGGGATTTGAAATTCATCCCAATCCCAGCTAATGTCGTGAGCTGAGCTTTGAACACCGCCAAGAAAGTCGTCGAGGTAGTCCGGCGACCACCCCTCGAGTAAAATGCCGGTGGCATCAGAGCCGGGCGAGCTAACGTATCTCGTCTCGCTCGTAGAGGAAGTCCCAGGGGTACTTCGGAAGGGGCTTGATGTACTGCTGCCACTTTCTAAAAAACTGAAGTGGTCAGCATACCAAACATTCCCAAAAACCCTAGATTCGACTTCCAGTTCCTGCGTACCATGTTTAGTTATGGGCTCGATTAGAGGGAGACCTATGTCGCCCGCATGAATCTTCGCCTCACAAACTGTTGGGTATGCAGTCCCTAAAGCCGTATCATCTAGGGCTAATGAGTTTCTGTTTGGTGATGCAGGTGTAAACACACCACTATCATCAACTGATGATTGCGCCCCACTGCCTAATACCCTCTGGTGACTCTCCTCACGAGGGAAATTGCGATGCGTGCCCTCGCCTCTTAGACTGACACTCGCTGCAAAGAAAACCAGCAAACACTCAGCAATAAAGCACTCCAACGCAAGATATAACACAACTCCCAGAGGCAATTTAGTACATTCTTTTTGGAAGTAATGAAATAAATTTTGTACCAGCATCATAAGCTCGAGCTGCCTCTTCTGCGGTGTCAAAAGACCCAAGCCATCGACGAGTTCGCTGCCTAGGTATCCGGATCTCTGCCACCCACTTCCCCCATCTTCTCTGACGAACGCCTTTGTACTTCGGTCCATTCTTCTTCTGAACCGTCGCCTTCAGGTTCTTAGTTCGTGTACCGAGATGTACTGACGGGTTCCACAGTTTCCTCGGGGGAATCCGATTAACTGAATCTTGTGGCTGGGAAAGAATCATCTGACTATGGTCGTAGGATATCGCTCTATAAGCAGACAATCCAGGCGGTAAACTACACTGAATTGGATCACCAATATAAGCCTCGGCAAGGCCTACGTGAATCTGCGATGAAACTGGACCCAGAGTACTACAAAAACCCTGCTCGACACACTGCGGCGAGGAGGCACTGTACATGGTCCTTTGAAATTGTTGTTCAAAACTACAATTGTTGGAACCAACTGTACTTAACGAGCCGCATGCACTGCAACTATCCGCAACTGAACCTCTCCCACTGGAGGAACTTCCATCATGAGTCTCATGAAAGGTCCTTTGGCCTTCACGTTCGCGGGATGAATTCCTTGAATATCCCATGACAGCCATGACGTACTCACCAACTCAACACTAACACTCGAATAATATATTTCCCAAAAAAACAGAAAAAAAGAAAAACAAGACAAAACAAGCCAAACCTAAACAAGAAAACAAACAAATAAAAAAGACACGACTATGCAACAGTGCCAAAGGTCTCAGAGTGCTGGGACTACTACAGACGGTGTTGTACAAGTTCCTCACTGGACAGTAAGGTGCAAAACGAAGTTAAAAAAAGACGTCCATTAAAACACCTAAAAAATGAAATTAGAACAGTCCGCTAACCACAGCAAGTAAAAATCTATAGGTACCTGGACACTTCAATTCACTCAACGACGCACAGGACTGCTGACAAATTCCTATGAGGACTGGCCAAAGACCCTTGGCACCTTCTCGGACACCATGAGTGAAGAACCTGCACCAACAGAGTGCAAGGCAACGATACACACAGAACAAACTTAGGATTATTCATGATCCCAGAAGTGCCCCGAGCATGCATCTACCAGAGGACTAGCTTAAACCCGTGGGAAGGCCAGCAGATAGTCTCTGAAGCAGTCACTAACAGAAGTGATCCATTGCCAACCGCAAGAGAGCTCCTACAAAGCTAGAACCAGAGTCGGATTATAAAACAGTACTAACACTACGTGCGTCGTGATCAAGTGCCTAGCCTAAGGTGCAATTTTCACAAAGCCTAGCTCGCCAAGCGAGCCCAAAACAAAACCCCAGTGCCTAACCTACCAGTGAGTGCATCAGTGATCAGCGGAAACTCCAACACCAATCTCCTTCAACGGACAACCAGTCGATGAATTCTCGACCGCTCCACCAACACCCGAGTGTTCGATTCGGGTGAAGCGAGCAACGAGAAGAAACGCCGTCAGAGTGGCCAATTGCGAGAGAGAGGGGATCCGAGTCCCACCACCTACAAGCCCGTGCCTAGAGTGCAAATCAACGTGAGTGCGTGCGAGGGAGCGAGAAAGCTGAGAGGGATTGATCGAAGACTCGATGAGTTCGACAGAGAGTGTGCATGGGACAAGCTGGTCCCTTATACTCTCTCTTTCACACATCGTCAACTGGGATTCCCCTTCCCCAGGTCCAGACCTTCTTGAATAATCAACAAAGCTGGTAAATTTTTCGTCGGCAGCTCTGATCCGAAAATTCTCCCCCGACGCATCTGTCGGTACTGCTAGCGTCGGAAACGGTGCGCAACAAACAAGTTGCACACTTCTTATGGTGGGATGACTTTGTGTGTGATAGTTTGGGAATGCATGTGTTGATTGTGTGTGCATTTAAAGAGCATGTATGTGATGGGAAATGAAGCAACTTGGCAACCGTTGTGGATATGAACCATTGAAATAAAGTAACTGTTTTTCATGGAAAACCAATTACTTTAATTCAATTGCAAAATATGAATAAAAATTTGGTGATATTTTGACAACAATTCTAAGTAGGAATATGACTGCCAGCTACAAATAATATGAAGCTTAATAGTCTCTAACCGTTTTTAGAAATACCAATTTTAAGATTTTTCATTGACAATTATAAGATGTTGTAACATCAAATTTTAGAGTTTCGTTTTGGTTTTTTGTGCATTTTTTGGGTAATTTATTGTATGGTGTGAATGCTACTACCAAATTTTGGTGATTGTCAAGTATTATCAATCTTGCATACACAATACATGTACAAAATTGATATCTAATTAACATTTTATTTATATTTATCATTATCTTCTCCATTATTAACTCTTTAACTCACGGTCAAAATTGATTACTTTTTTCAAGTCTAAATACATGGCTCTAACCATATTTGACATCATAAAATCACGTCATTATATTTTAATTTTATCCTAATTTTATAACTTTACAATCCTAGTATTTATTAGCTAAAGAATTCTAAATTGATTAATATTGTGGCAGTGGTAAGATAAGATCTTATTATTGATCATTTTTATGATCACTTGTAGTTTGTAAGATTTTATATGTCTGTGTGTGTGTGTGTATATATATATATATATATATATTTCTTTGTTCTTCTCAATAGTGATATTTAATTGTTACCATTTGTAGCTATTCTATGCTTTTATTTGTAATTAGAGGGCTAGAATACTACCGAAACTTTTCAATCACTGTACTTGAAGAACAATTTTATTTGATCAAAATAACTTAATAGAATTTAGAAGCGTTTTTTATAAATGAAAAGATCTATAATATATGATGAGATTTTAGAAGAGTGCAATTATTTCTATCCACGTTATTTCTTTTAATTTTAAAAATATTTCTAAGTACAAATTACAAAACTTTTTTTAACTGAATAGGTGTATTAAAAAAATTGTTAAATGGTTTTTATTAATTACTTCTGAAATATATCATAAAATTCAGTAAGAATTTTTAAATCTGATAATTTTATATACTATGCTTTTTTTAAGAATCTTAGAATATACCAAGACATTAAAATAGCAAGCAAGAAAGTCAATAATGAAATTACAAAGGATATCAAACATGTTTGTTAGATGATAAACAATTCATTTATTAAGTCTAAAGGACATGATTTTGTATTATAAAATTTTCATACATTTAAAAAATGTTCCATTAAGAATGTCTAAATATTCATTTAATTTCAATTTAAAAATACATTATACTTCAAGCTCTTTAAAATTATAATTTAATATGGACTGTAACTTGAAATATTGGTTACAAAAATCTTCAAATTAATGGGAATAAATAAACATTTCTTTTAAAAAAATAATTTCCATCAATTCATAAATTAAAAACTAAAAAACTATATTCATTTACTGAAAATTTTAGCTAATAAGTTGAAAACAATCTTATGTTATTATGATGGTCACATATAAAAACCATGATACACATACTATATATATATATATATATATATATATACATAAGTTTTTACACATGTTGAAATTTTCTATATTTAGAAATTATTTATACTAAAAATAAGTTAAAGCTATTTAAGAAAAGATTAAGTTGTTCAATGAATGTCAAAAATTAAGAACATAAACTTTTTTCATAGGTACATTTCTAATAATACCAACTTCATTTGCTTAAACTAGAGAAAGCTTTTACTTAAGTTCAATACAAAGCCCAACTTGGTATGTAAAATTTCAAAACCTAGACCTCATCACATCAAATGTCTTTAGAAGACCAAATTTGAATTCCTCTAAAGTACAATAAATAAATCCAACAAAAAACACTAGTAATCTACAAAATTATAAATTATATTATTTAAAATATATATATATCATTTAAAAAAAAGGTAAAACCAAAAATAATTACCAAGAAGCTATTAGATTCCAATAAGTTTTAGTACAATTGAAATATTGATTTTTTCTGTTTAAATACAATAAAACAAAGTCACAACAATGGTTTGATTCGTATATTAGTCTAAATGAAGGTAACAGTTTCAACTCTCCACATACTGGAATGTCTCATGCGTGGCTTGCAATGAGACACACCTTGTTTGTACACCACTACATACATACATATATACATACACACACACACATATATATACATATGCATACATACATACATACATACATACATACATACATATTTATGCATTTGCAAGTAATGTTTAAATTTTTAATTATTTCAAACATCAAAGGTAGAGAAGATGGGTGATCCTAAGAGCAAATATCCTTTTTAAAGTGAGGGGTGGTTTCCTTCCTTGATGAATGGATTGATAAAGACCATGAGGTTGATTAGTTGATTGTGACAATGTTGTTTGCTTTGGTGGGGCACCAAGCAAATCTTATCTGTCTCATCTTATCGTTTTGCAAAGCAATAATAACCACAACTCACAGTCCAGTCCCCCATAATGGGTTGGTGCAAAAAGAAAGAATTCTACATACATTCTTCTGTTCCACTGTGGGAATACACACACACACACACACATATATATATATATATATATATATTTTAAATTAAGGATATAGCAGTAGCAGAGCCGCATGCGAAAACATCCGTCGGTTAGAAAAATACAGTTCATTCATTCATCCACCTGACGTTGCAAGTCGGAGCCCCATCCGAGACAAAAATTTGAAATCTTATCTGCCATTTTGTCAGGACCCTGCCTCCCCACTCCCCCAGGAGAGAATTAAAATAAAAACTCGTATTTTTCAGGTTCCCAGTTATTCAGTTTGGATTCGTTTTTAAAACGTGTACAAAAAGAAAGTGAGAATATTACAGGCAGAATCAACCCAAACTCAAAACAGCTCTCCTCCTGATTGAGAGATGGGTACTGACCTGGCATTTGATCTCTCTGTGGTACTCATAATCTTGTGCACAAACACTTGAATTGACTACACTAAATAGAAATGGAGTGACGTCCCTCCTGTTGGCTTCCCAACTTAAAATGGTAAGAAAATCTATTGCTCTGCATACAAGTGCACGCATATATTGATTGAGTAGATAATGAAATCAATTGATAGGAAAATCTTTGTTTTATTAAACTGTGACATTTCCCTAAAACATCACATCATCCATCCACCCAAAGCTGCAAGCAAGTCCCTTTATGGAATTCTTCAAAATGTTTAAATATTTACTCATATTCTTATTATTATTGTTGTTGTTATAAGCGCTAACAAAATCCACAGTAATTATTATTTTGTATTTATAATATTCAAAGGCAGAAGAAGATGATTGATAGAGTGGAGCTTTTAGAAAGAAAAGTGCAGTTTTCATTGAGGGAGTAAGACATGGCTGCATTAATGTCGCTACAGACAAAGACTTGTTCCTTAGAAAACAGAGCCGTGGTCTCATTTGTCACATTTCCATTGGAAGATCCAAAATTCCCCCCATCACATCACATCCACTAGTGTATGATTATTCTATCTCCCCCAAGTTTACATTTATATTTTGGTTAATTTTCCACCCAAGTATAGTATTATATTTACACTACATATTAAAATGAAGCTTACATGAGCTTCCATGAGAGATTGCCAATATGATGTGTCTCTGTGTGTGTCTGTGTTGACATTGTACTTTAATGCAGAGTCTTGATCCCCCATGCATCCCAATATCAGGACAAACAAGCTATTTGAAGTTGATAACTATTATTCTGCGTAATATTCCTATTGCTCTTATTATTGTTATTATTATCATTCTTTTTGTTTTGTGGGTTGGTGGGTTTTGGCTCCTTAAAAGTGCTCCTGGCTGTGACTCCATGAGTCCAGACTGTGATAGATCAAAGGCCATTTGGGTATTATTTCATCTACCCTGGAGCTGGTACAAGTTTAAATTAATAAATTAATAATCTGTCCATACTTGTGGTGGATATCTAGCATTAAAAACGCGTTTCACAACCACAAGATTTTCCCATTCATCATCTATATGTTGTGTAGTGCTGCAACGGAAGGTTGCAATTGCCAAGTTTCAGTGTTCTATTTTATTTTATTTTATTTTTGACACAAATTAAGATGAACTTTAGCCTACACCTGACATTCTGAAATGAAAATTGTGTCTGGCCATAAATACAAAACAGGCCTGCTTTTAGTGACTACTTCCACAGGAACAAATACTTTGCCCTCTTTCATGGCCCTTGCCTGATATAAAGGCTATTAACTTTTCCAAAAAAAGTGAAAAGTTAATATACATTAGGAAATTCTCAAAGATCTATAGTTTTTGAAAGGTTATTAAGTTGTTTGCTTCAACTTTTGGAATAAGCTCAAAATTTAACAACTTTCATTTCATATAGACATGTTTTTTTTTACTTTACTTTATCTTTGTTTTATTTATGACATAAATGGGATATAATTGTTGCATAAGATAATTAAGTGACTTAAAAAGAACAAAGAAGTTCAACCTTAAAATCTTACTATGAAAGTTATTATATAAACATATAACATGTTCAAAATTATATAATATATTATCTTAATTTATCTTTATATATCTATCAAATATATGATGATATCAATGCAAGAACTTTAGTCTTCTAAAGAATTACCATTTTTAGTCTTTGACTTATTATATTTATTGTGATATAGAACTTGTATCATCATCTAAAAATATGTTGTACTTATTTCATGTTGTTTTTTTAATTTTGTTACAAGATATATTATAAAGAATATGGATGTTATCAATAAGATTATAGAACATCTACATAAATTATGAACTTCTTATTTTGGTAGAATTTTGTGTCATTGTATAAATCAACTAGCTCTATTTAAATTCTTTTAGCATTTTTTATTTCAAAAATTATAATCCACA